CAATGTAATGGCAGCAATAATAACAATAATAAAATTATACAGTTACTGTAGAACCAACAGCTGTGTTCAATTGAGTTAATGCTCTGACTACCTAACAAACAAATACTCTTCACCCACTTCATTACACAGGTGAGCAGATACACAAGAATTTGATTATTTTTATAAGTTTCTTGACAATTTTATTTTTATTTTATTTTTATTTAGGAACCAACGGCGTTACAATGAATAAATCTTAAAGTAACTTAACTATAAGTATGGCTAATTATAGGTTTCCCTGGAATATCCTTAAAGTAAATCTACCGTTCGGATTACCGAGACGCAAACTCCAAAAGATGAAAACTAGAACATTACAAATAACTTACATAATATTATTATGAGAATACATTTTGACACCCTATAAAGTTGAGCCACATTTGACGACTAAATTAAAGTTAATTAACTTAAAATGTAATTAATTTAAATTACTTAAACCACAGATAATATAATCTTAAACTAAGGTTTATAGTTTGACAGACAAATAGATATCAGATACCCGAACAAAATTAAATAATCACTCACCCCACAGACAACCCAAAAAAGATGTAGGTCAATTTAATAATAACTAGATTTTACCCGCGGCTTCGCTCACGTGAGATTAAACTTATTACGGATCATAACATCATTTATTAAGCATATGTATTTGGATGTATAAACTACTATGCAGCTTTTGCCCGCAGCTTCACCCGTGCGAAATTTAGTTTGTCACAGATCGCCACAGACCATAGCAAATATGTCATTCTGGGCTATAAACAACAACACTGCATAGTCTCATCAAAATCCGATCAGTAGCTCTTGCGTGAAAGAGAGACAAACATCTAGATGTCCAGACATCCAGACATCCAAACTTTCGCATTCACAATATTAGCAAGATAATACTCTAACGTGTCATCAATTCTTTCAGGCAGTGCATTTTCGCATGTCGCGTGCGCTATGGAAACCGCTGGGAAGGGATATCTTTGTTTAACAATTACGTCGAAACTAATAGACGTAGACTAATAAACTTACATTCGTTTTGTAGAATAGCTCAAATACTAATAATAAAATGCAAATAAAACATACCTTAACGACCTGTTTTTTCTTGTGTTGGGAAATAACTGAAAAAGATGTGAAAAAAATCGTGTTTATTTCTAATTAAATCCATTCTTACACCCTTAAAATGTATGAAACTTGTATCTGTTTTCTACTTCTACTAAAAGATAATTTTATTGGCTATCGCATGATAAAAAAATTTTTGCTTATTAATGTTAAATTATCCACGCTATCACTTGTTTTTGAAGGAAGAGGTGAAAACTTAAAATTAAAAACTTAAATCCTTGTAAATATGCGAGAAATGGGTCAAGCCCCAAATTTAAAGTATTTTCACCGATAAAATTGTCCATAGATTACGCCCTTAAAGTTTGATCACTACATGCCCGGACACACTGTATATCTAACCATTCTTCAAATTAAATCCTTATTGGTTTACTAAAACTCAAACCAAATGACAAATGAAGAGAAAACGTCTAATTATTTTTTTCTCTGAACTTAAAATAGAACCCAGTGGGTCTAGACAAAGTGCAAATTTTAATCGCAAACCAGTCGAAAAGTGGTCGAAAAGCCCCTTTTTTGTATGGAGTTTTGACGGATTCGATTTTCGATTCGATCAAAAAGTGCGTTTTGTCTAGGGGGGCAGAACATTACTGACATTACCGATGAAAACCAAACTTTTGTCTTTCAATTTGATAAAAGAAGCCTCTCAAATACCTTCATTGTTCCAGCAGCATCCACGTAAAAGAGCATTTCTATTTAAATTTTCAATTACAATCACGTTCTTGCTTCTACGTAGAGCAGTGCACGTGCCCACTGATAATAATACTCTTTGATAATAATACCGATTCTTCTATTTCTGTATCGCGGCTTATGTACGCCCAATAAACAAAGAAAGCTTTGCAAAAGCTTCAGTGCCACTTTTATTTGTGCGCCATCGAACAGCGAACTTAAAAAGAAACTTTGAATGTCACCGAGCTTACAATGGCGGAAATAAAGTTCGTTGCGCTCGAATTCGTGAATTATTTTAGGATGGACTGTAGACATGTTTATTTATTAAATTCTGGAGCCGTTTTTTGTTTTTTACGTGGAAAATGCACTAAATTGCATTCCGGCCGCTCTGGTCAGATGGGTTATGTGGGGCTCTACATGCCAGAAGGGCTTAATAAATTCTGGCTATAACGACAAGTTTAAATGCGTGTAGTGACAGTCCAGTTATGTGAGATCCTGCATTACTGGGTCATTCGAAGCTGGATTGCCGTGGAAATGAGCCACAGATCACAGAAACTAAAGGGAGAGCTGACAAGGGGGCGGGGCCGGTGTCGCAGCAATATGCCCAAAAACAGAACACATTGCTCGTGAAAGCAATGATGACAGCGACGTCGTAATGTAAACAGTTTACATTGCTTGCGTAGTACTAAAGATTATTCGAACGTTGAGTACTGACAACGCAGTGAATAATGAGCACATATTTTGATTACTTTGTGTGTGTGAATTTATAATGAGACACTGAGTTTCGAACTCAGTGTATTAGTTGGCATCTCTTTATATCTCTATAGAACGAGCCTTTACGCTGTAGCGCGCGTTAGTACGCGTTCTATTTGGTTGAGCATTTAATATGGCTATTTTTTATGTATCTTCAACTTATCTGACTCACATGGCTTCACCCACGTATTATTCATTGTAAATCGTCTTTAGTACTTAATATTGGATATTGGATATAAATAACTACGGTAGATAAGCTTTCTATTTCAGAAATAGACGAACGAGTATTCACAATCGGACCGTTCAACGGATTATCTCCAACAAACGTATTTACAATCAGACCAATTTGTATATATCTATTATCTACTTATCGTATTTAAACCGTAACATACTCATACGAAGAGTAATTCTGCACTTAGGTACAGTTAAGGTACTAGTGTTACTACTGTACATTGACCAATAAAACCTTCACATTCAGGCCCGTGATGTTCAAAAAGATTTGTAAAATAATTTTTCGTGCTTATTTGTTATTAAAGTATAATAATATACATACATAACAATCATAAGGGACTGAGCATTTTTCGATCTTATTATGTAACGTAATAACATTAAATGGAGGACACGGTAGAGTGAATATAAAACAAGGTAAACGAACAAAGTCAAGAAATGACGACTTTTAAGAAGTTTGTATTTAAATCCAGTGACGTTATAAAGAGTTTACAGATTCATTACTGCACTACTAGTAGTATAAAATACGTACTCTATTATTTGCTAAAAATACACGTGAATTTCGACTCTAATTTCAATTTTCTACGAGTACAAAGTCACGTTATCGCCTGTTGTATTTATACCAGAAAGGGCAGGGAATGATCGTGTATTGAAATTGATTCAAAGGTTAATGGTAAAAAAGGTCAAATATTACCAACATAATCCGATTCTTTGTAATATTAACCTCACAATCACAATATTGACCAATGAAATGAAACGACGTTTAATTACGTCTGAAAGCTGTCTAGACGGATAAATTGAAACATTCCATAGTAATTGCTACTTTTATAGGTACGTAAGTTCTTACTATAGTTCTAATGCCCGTATTCACAAACGATGCTTGCTTAGTGAAGCAGCAAATCGAACGCACAGCGTTGGATAGAACTCTGTGATTGCTCGTGTATCACCCTGTGCGTCCACGCGCACCGTGAGACCTCGTAATGATGTTTGTGAATACGGGCGTGAGTTTCTTTCTTTCAACTTCTATCAATGCTTGGGATTGAATGGAATTTTCAGCTTAGTTCTTGGAATTGAATTTTCCTTATTCTCGTTTCACTTTATTCAATATCAAAAATGTGAATATCCCAACAAATTCCCTGAAACTACGTGTTCCGTGGCTACATTATGTTGACAATACGCCGCCAGGTGGCGCTAGGTGCGTGATGGCGGGGAAACGTGACGTTACTGAGCTGCACGATTGACGTGACACGTACTACGTGCGTTATCACGGTCACAGTGTATGAACTAAAACTTTGTATGTTTGACTTTTTGGAACTTTTATACTTTTGACGAGATACCTCACGTTGAAACTGGCATAAAATGTGTCGTTTTTTTGTGTGACATTAATGTTTAATTTAGCGTTCGTTACATACTTCGTCTTTTAGTAAATGCTGTATAAATGATAGATTTAAATAACGTATGCACGATACATGTCGTCTTTGTGTAGGTACTAATCAGATGTAATAACCATTTAAATAATATGGTACCTATCTAAGTATCTAGATGTTTTCATGTTACATTACATCATGTAATTTTTGGATTCAAGTCACATACGGTAGACGTCGTATTCAGGTAACATGCTTTTTTTTTTTTTTTTTTAATCTCCGGCTGAAATTGCCGGAGTTCGGTTTCAGACAAAACAATTTGTTGAATATTAAATTAATAATGTTTTTTTTGTTTAGAGCAAGTGGTGGTAGTTTCTCGCTAATGTCTACGAGCAAAATTGTAGTCTCCATACTTTATAGACTTTTTTTTTATTTTTATTTTTTTATTTATGTACAAGGTTTTAAATTTAAAAATGAACTTAACATTTTACAGGTAACATGCTGTAGCGTGTCACATTTAAGTGACATATGCGGCACATTTTCCATTATATTTCTTATGAAACATGCCGTAGATTCGGGTTACTTTACAACTTTGGCTCAAATAACTGGCAACCAACTAAAAAATAACCGTCAGTAACTCTAACTTTGCTCTGTCGAATTATGTCGTTTATCGACATTGCAATGAAGAGCTGGGTTAAATCCGTTTTTGTTTTGGGCCAAAGTTGCTAGAGCTCAAGCTACCCAAGCAAATAATTATACGGTGCTATAAATGTCATATAATAAGGTACTTGTGACATATATGGTATTTGTGGCATATATGGTACTAGTGGCATATATGGTACACAATAAGTGACGTACCTCGGCGCAGCGCGAGGCAGGGCCGTGTAGACCGGCCACTCGTTGTACATGAGCGGGTCGCGGTACGAGCTGACCTCGTTCATGATCTCCGGAGCTCTGGCTTGCCTCTTCGAGAACCTGCAGTAAAAAGACATTCTATTAACACGTGAAAAGGAGTATTTTGGACAAACCTAAAACTATGTGGTTCTGGCAGAATAGAATTAGACCACTAACTCCCACTCTTTCCGTGGATATCGTAAAACAGAAAGAGAAATATTGGACAAAGGACATCATCCATTTTGGTCCAAAATCAAAAGTGCCGGCCAAAAAATAAAAGTGCTGTATTCTGATAGAATACGTCCGCCTTAGCATTTATTACTATGGCACCAAAGCTGTAGCACCACTGTGCATCGTGGTATTTGAGTTCTAAAAATATATGAAACGACTGACTTTGATCTCAAATACTACGACGCACAGTGGAGCTACGGCTTTGGTGCCATAGTAACAAATGCTAAGGCAGACGTACTCTGTCAGAATACAGCACTTTTTTTTGTTGGCCGGCACTTTTGATTTTGGACCAAAAATATATGAAACGTGGATGATGTCTTTTACGAATATGACTCCTCACCAACCAACCAGTCTAACTGCGTGAGATGAGTAGACCAACTTGCCTCAAGTAAATTAGAAAGGGTGCTCTTGCAGTAGCAGCGGAAAGATCTGACAGTAATGATGAAATATGTGTCACACTCCTGCAGTGGAGACCAAATAAATGATTTGATGATGAATCAATGGATAAATGATAGATTCGTTTCGGTATTCATTGACAATAATCTGATCCAGCTATCAAATTATTTAGCTAACTCTCGTTGAACAAAATGTCATTTAAAACTAGTGTTCAAAGCGCATGAGAGTATTTCTCAAAAAAAATGTACGTAACGAAATAGTAGTAACGAAATAGTAAGGCCATAAGGCTTGTTATACATTGGCGAAATATTGTGAATGCTCTTCATTTATTCAATTCGAAATATTTGTAAGTATGCACCCAAATACGGGGTAATATTAAGGGGTTAGAAATAAAATAAGGGAGTAATCATTCATACTATTTTAATAAAATTATTTTTGTTCCATCATGTTTATCCATTTTGAGTCGTTCTCTGTAAGCTTTTTGCCTTTCGGCATTGGTTTTTGGTCAATTTGATACAGAAACTGCGATTACTGTAGAACGATAATACAAAGAAATTTACAATAATTTAGTTACGTATCGCATTTTATGAAACAAAAACACATGAAAAAGCTAGGGTGGCAAACAGATTTTTGTATGAAAGGTAAAAAAGGACTATTTTTAAAATATCTAAATATTTGGTAATAAGTAGGATTATAGCTATAATTATTCGTTATCTTAAAGATTAATATTCATCCTTCAAAATTGTGTGTGTGTTTTTTTTGTGTGATGATTTATAAATATAAAACTTTTGAACTGTTTCAAAGCACACTTTTTTTTTTCAAAATGTACATTTTTTTGAGAAATACTCATGAAACCTTTTATTAGTAATGGTGTCTAATAATTTTGCTAAACAAAATTAAAACGTATGAGTCTTAAACCTTATAGTTATGATGATTTAATTTAAACAAGCCAATTCGTTGTCAGACCGAGCTTTAAAGACCCTCATTAATAACCTTCCTTCGGCAGTCGGGTAAAAAGCCAGAGCTTCCATTAACATAATTTATACAAGCTGGTGTTGTATTATGTCGACAGTATAAACTTATCGATAGTTTACGTTTGCTTTTAAGTGGGCTTTGGTGACTGCGAGTTAAAAATTAATGAGTCTTCATTTTAATAACATAACAATTTTGCATCTGAAGTTCGGACACTAAGTTAAAAGATANCAATAATGAGTGACAAGCCCCACAGATGTAGTCATTTGCAGTAACCTGTTTAAAAATAATAATAATTAGAAATAAGTTTAAAAAAATTATCAGTTTTTTAATGTCCCGCACTTAAATTATTTTATTTTAGTATTAATTTACAGAAACCAATAACTTTACAAGAATTAGACTGATTGTATAGCCAATAACATTTTATTAAATAAGGACTTTAGCGTGCATTACCTCTAATGGAGTTAGTCGTTCCACAATTATGTTCCTGATGTTAATATGATGTTGAGTTTTAGTTCTAATGGANCCTGACATGCTGGGACCAGCTCAGAGTGCTGTCAATGAAGAGTCCGAGATTTTTCACGTATGGGGAGAAGTTAACAACAACTCCGTCAAAGACAACACTAGGGACCGATCCCAGATCCAGTTTAGCCAGCTGCCTGGAGCTCCCCAGCACAATCGCCTGACACTTGCCAGGATTGACCCTCACACCGAACTTTCCGGACCAATCGGCAATACTGTGTAGGTCAGCATTTAAACGCGAAATCGCATCAGATATCTCAGAAGGGTCAGCCTGAACGTAGAGTTGGAGGTCGTCAGCGTAGAGATGAAACGATGAAGAAAGGTGAGAAGTAAGAATGTTGATGAAGACAGAAAAAAGGATAGGTGAGAGTATACCCCCTTGAGGTACGCCGGTAGCAAGGTCCATCCACTCCGAGTATGCTTGACCGAATCGCACCGCCTGTCTTCGACCGCGCAGATAGGATGAGAACCATTCTGCGGACGGTGATGAGACTCCGAGGTGGAATAGAATGGCAAGAAGGATGTCATGGTCGACCGTGTTGAAGGCGTTAGAGAAATCGATCAATACAAGAACGGTAACGCGTGACTCCTCCATGCCGGCTCTGACGTCATCAACAATTTTCAAGAGTGCAGTGGTAGTGCTATGTCCCGGGCGGAAGCCAGACTGGAATTGGCTGAGGAGATGGTTTTCTAAAACAAATTTAGAGAATTGCTTGTGAGCAGCAGCTTCGAGGACTTTAGAAAGAAAGGGTAAGATGGAGATAGGACGAAATTGGTTTAATGCGGTAGGGTTGGAGAGTTTGGGTAAAGGGATGACATGAGCTAGTCGCCAAGCGGTAGGGAAGCACCCACGGTCAAAAGAGGAGTTGATGATATGGGTGATAACAGGAAGTAAGTCATCCAGGATAAGGAGTATCATCGCTCTACTAACCTCATCCGGGCCAACAGCTGTTGATTTTATAGAGAGGATGAACTTTTTGGTCTCATCAATGGTGACAGGGGAGAATGAAAAGGAGCTTGGAGAAGAAATAGGAAGAGAGTTTNCAATCTCAAGTTAAGCTTTTCTAGGTATCCCCTACAACATATTAAAAAATTAGAAGCGCAAATTCATTTTCTTTTTTGAATGTACGTAATGACTGGACTATTTGTATTTCCTACTTTTTTGCTTTAATAAAATTGTCGTAACCATTTTTAACTAGGTAGCTTGCCCACGTGGTTTTCCTTTCAAGATTTTTTTATCGCGTACTTGTGTTAAACAGCGCCATCTATCAAATTCTTTTGTAAATAAATATGATTCATTTATGCTCAATGATCAATGGCTTGTTTCAGCGAAAAGCAATTAGTTCATGTTATCTTTAATGGATGTCGTTATTCTCTAAAATACTTGTAGCATTTTTTTTACTGTGTCGCTTAATTACGATACAACAAAAAAACAAGCAATACCTATCCATTAAACTTTAACCTCTATTTTTTTGGGTCAAACAACTACACAAAAGTTTATAAGTCATAATCTAGACATGATGTCAAAATATTCCATAGGTAGGTACTAGTAATTATTTATTACCTACTTGCTCGTGATTAATTGTTGTGGAAAATTCTGTAAAATATTTGCTAGCAAGTTTTAGTTTGTTTCAAAATTCTTCAGTACTCCAGACTATTCCTTCCTTACCTACATTGTCACTGGGTATAATAAAATTTGATGTAAAAATAATTTATTTAAGGCGACAATAATAGCCCATTGGTGTCAGTATTCGATTCAAGACCTTGGTAGTTCAAACCTTGTTCTCTCTCGTTCGTTGTCTTTTCTCTGGACAAATGCATATATTTAGAGTTGGAAGAGTCAATGTGACTATTAGTGTTTAAAAACTATCATACCTGGAACCTGTCTTGTACAGTAGCGTACGGCACACCGGAGTACTGTGCGTAAGAGCCGTCGGGAGAGACGGAGCCGCGCAGCCAGCCGCCGCTCACGCGCACCGGCGGCGTCGGCTGCCGCACCAGCCGCGCCGCCCACAGCGCCCATAGCACCACCCACTTACCACGAGCACGCATAACGGCCTCTGAAAGCGAACGTAGGAACTAAGCATTCATTATTGAGTCTTTATTGCAGAAGCACGCTCCCTCTAATCAGAGGTAAAATAGGGTTTTGCCCGCGCTTGCTAGATGGTTTGGGGGTTTAACATTCGGCGACACAGCGACCATAACACCACCTACTTGCCACGAGTGCGCATAACGGCCTCTGAAAGCGAACATAGGAACTCAGCATTCATCATTGAGTCTCCATTTCACACGATCCCCTCAAATCAGAGGCAAGATAGGGTTTTGCCCTCGCTCGCTAGATGGTTTGAGGTGGTCTGACATTACGCGTCACAGCAACCACAGCACCACCCATTTGCCGAGCACACATCGCGCCCTAAAACATAAACCAGCTTTGAGGGTCCTTTTTTCCATAGTGTAGATTTTGTCGGACGTCCAACCATAAGGAGACCAACGACCTCATAAAGGTAGCAGGAGGGCGCTGGATGCAGGTCGCTACCAACCGGGGGATGTGGAAATCATTGAGGGAGGCCTATGTCCGTGCCTATGTTCAGCAGTGGAAGATGAATTCAAAGTCAGAACTTCTTTAAAAATACTTCACTCTACCCCTGAAAACAGAGTTAGTTAACCGTATTCGAAAAAGGAGGGGACACTTTTCCATTCCTATTGTAAAGTTACTAATCAATGAAAGTTAGTCAGAGTTCACTAGTGACATCATTCATAAGAAAAAGACGTTTGACTGGTCATAAAAAGTAATATTGACTAGTTGTGCCCTATTTATTTATTAGTAGCCCTTTTCCGAGCCCTTAATATATATCTCAAATACAGTTTGCCTTAACGACCTCAGGATCGGGAAAACATATCGGCTCAAGCTGAGATGAAGTGGCTGAAGAAAAGCCACTTTTGTTTAGATAATTTTATAATCTTCAAATAAACACGGTTTTAATCTCACCTGCCTTCATTTTCCTTCAGAACCTTAATTGCTCATTAGCACTCTATTGTGAACCTGGCACCAAGCTAGTTCCTAGTCTACTTACTGACATGTTATAAACAATTAATCAAACATATTTTATAAACAAATACCTAGTCTATTCAACTCGCGTATCTGCGCTAATTCGTCGTACACACTTTATGTGTGTTTAATATCTATGTAGGTATAATCTACGTATTCATGACTAATCTCTTTCTATTTATCAAAGACCTCCCATTTATATGGAAATGCGTTCATTTCATATAATTATAGTCTCATAATAAAACATGTCAATCTCATTTTCATAATGCTTTTTTCCTTCTGACTACGAGATAAAGATTGACTATAATTCCTATTGAGTATTGTTGTACCATTTAAGGGGGTGCAGCGCGGACGAAAAACTACGATTTGATAGCCGAGCTAGCGGTGGCGCAACGAACTAACACGATCACACACAAANATTTATGTAAAACGTTAAAGATTTCCTGGCCTGGACTTGGTATTACATGGATCTCACAACTTTTTACCGTAGAACAACTGAGTTGCGAGACTTGGTTTTTTTGACAAGTATTGTTTTTGATGGGATACGATTGTCGATTGTTCATTTATCATTCACCATAATGATTCTTGTTTGCGACTTGTACATAGGTATATGTCGTGTCAATGTGTTTACTCCTCTTTTGCAATGAGTCTCGCGAGTCATGGATATTACCTTCTAAAGAGATTATGTGTAAAAAGTTTCTTTACTCATATTTAAAACGTTAATTGATTTCATACAAAATAGTCATTACTGTATTAATGTGTCTACGTCTACAAAAATAATACGTAGTAGTTGACCATAACACAAATACTGATTATTAATAAACATTACATGGTCAATTTAGGATATTCGAATACGAAATTTATGCGGAGGGCGTTTTATATTATGAACTAAATTGGGGATTTTAAGGCGAAGTAGTTAAATGAATATGAATGTACCGCACAAAGAACCNTGACGTCTTTGCCTCCTATTTGACGTGACATTTAACAGCTGTCACTGAACTGTCAGTCACCAATCACTCAGTGACAAACAATAATTATTTTACTCTTTGGTGACAAATGGACACCGACAACAACAAAACAAATTTAATTTAAATACCTACAAACACCTTAAATTAAAAAAAAGCAGTGACTTATTGAGGGTAAAACATTGTGAGTTATGTTAGAGACAGTGATGAAGCTGATTAGTTACTGGTACCTGCGACTAAAATGGCAAATGGACGGCGATAAACAAAAGCTACGCAGATGTCTATGACAATAGCACTATGATGAAATCACTTTGATCTGCATGTACGCTGCAATTTGGACGCTCCTGGTTTCGGGATGGGAGCGTCAGCAGCGGCGACGCGCGCTGCCGGCTCGGCTGCGCGCTTCCGCACGGGCTCCTGGGGAACTGGGACGACTGGACTGTGGCGCTCCATGAGCTTGTCTAGCTCCTCGCTGTTGGAAACTCGTTCGCGGGCGCCATTCGGAAGCTTGATGAAAACGCTGCCGTCCATAGACCACACCCGCCTCATACCAAAGTGCTTTCGCGCACTCAGGAACAGAGTCTGCCTTGTCCGCGTCAAAAACTCAGAAATGACAAATGGGGTACCTTTCAGCATTGTCTTTCTTCTCCAGACGAGTGATCGGGTTTCTTGGCTCGCGAACCCCACAATAACTGGCCTGCTGCGTCCCTCCTGGGATCTCCCAAGCCTGTGGCATGTAGTAATGGAGGCCGAAGTGATGTCTGGGAGTTCGAGGTTATCTTTCAGTACCGAAAGAGTAGATGACAGTAGGTTTTCACTGTCAAGATCCGGTACACCAGTAATAAGGATGAACTTGCGCCGGTGCCTCGCCTCGATGCTGTCCACGGCCCTGCTGACCTCCTGGATTTGCCGTCTCAACAGGTCTACGACTCCCATTGTGTGATCCCGGAACATGTAGAACTCGCCAGCAAGTGATTTNCTGACGTCAC